AGAGGACACAGAGACTAGGTCCTGGAGGGCCTGTTGGGTCACGCATGGGGTTTGGACTTTATCTTGGAGGGAATGCGGCCACTGAAGGGTTTTCCTGAGAGAGGAGTGGCATCGATGTCAGGTCCTCAGCTTCCTTTGCCTTGGGCGAAGCCCTGTTCATCCTTAACCCTCCACTCTCACCACGTGGAGAAAGGAATTATCATTATGTGCACATCACACCTACAAAAGCAAGGTCTCTAGAGCAGCGGTTCTCAACCTGTGGGTCGCGACCCCTTTGGGGGTCGAACGACCCTTTCACAGGGGTCGCCTAAGACCATCGGAAAAACACATATATAATTACATATTGTTTTTGTGATTAATCACTATGCTTTAATTATGTTCAATTTGTAACAATGAAATTGGGGGTCACCACAACATGAGGAACTGTATTAAAGGGTCGCGGCATTAGGAAGGTTGAGAACCACTGCTCTAGAGGCAATAGTTTGCCTAAGTTCCCATGGTCAAGAAGCACAGGAAGTAGGATTGGAATCCAGATCTCCTAGACACTGAAGATTTTGCTTTGAACCCCTACAAGGTACTGCTTCTGAACCAGACCAGGCCTTTGGGATGGAGAACACATTGGAGGAAGGGAAGCTGGGGCCCAAGAGACCAGACAAGAGGTATTTAATATGCTCTGTGCTAGTTATAATTGGTGATAAATTTTTTTTTTTAAAAAGCACAAAGTCCTTGCCTCTCTGAAGGGTCAATATGTGCTCAAGTTCTTGAAGCCAATCACGTAAATTAAAAATGTCAACCTTTCGGACCATTCCGTAGTTTCTGCCTGGCATTGTGCCATCCAGTTACTATGGGAGGGGAAGCAGATGTCGTAAGTAGAGAGCCATCTTTAAGGAGCTTTGCTGAAAGCCTACTCTAGAAGAGACATGGAGAAAGGGTGTTAACATTTGCTGGTCTCTCCTGCCTGCTTGCTCTTGACCTTACGAACTACACATGCAACCTCAGGTTATCGAAGGAAAAAGCCTGTTGCTCAGGACCCCAAGCATCTCATCATGCTATGGGACCCACAAAACAAGAGGCAGCACGGCTCATGGGCCACGTGTACTTTATCTACGGCTTGGTGATTTTTCTTGGGAAGAAAGATTAGTAACCACTATTGAATATTGAAAACTTCAGTCTTTTCAAACCATATATTCCATGCTGGTTTTCAGGCACTGCTGGGTGGGCTATATAGAAGAATGAGTTATGGGTCACTCTTAAGGGGCTCACAGTTTACCCTAAGAAGGCATGCAGAGATCGAGAGCCAATGGGGCATGCTGTAATAGAGATCTGTAACAGACTTCCTCCCTTTTGGTATATACAGTACATTGAACAATGCCTGATAGTTAACATTCAATATCTATTTTTCATTGACTGGAAAAGTGCAGTGTATACCATTGAAGAAAGTACACAAATTTGCTAGAGGGTGTCCCCAGGGTTGTGCTGCATCACATTGTATACATCTTAACATCAGTATCTTTGCTAATTCTTTCTTCCTTCTCTCCCAACAAAGTTCTACTCATCTTCCTGTCCCAATCCAGCATAGAGCCTGAGTCTTACTTGTCTCTGTAGCTACTCCAACATAAATGGATGGGTGGGTGGGTGGGTGGATAGATGGATGAATAAGTGAATCACAGGAGTTACCATGGAAACACTCACAATTGCCCCAACAAACTACGTTCTCCCTTCTCCAAGGATGTTTGTATGTGTTTTTTGACCTTTATGCAGAACTCTTCATCACTTCTCAATGAGCTAAATCCTATGCACATATCAATTCAGGCATCGTTTCTTTTGGGTAGGCTTCTGTCCACCTCCAGTTTGGGTTTGACCCATACGCCATTCCCATAGGTGTCTGCATAGTCACCCATCTCTTTCTGTATCTGGTAAATTCTGTAAAACCAGGAACCAATTGCTAGTGACCATTATATTCCCAATGTCCAGCAAAGCTCATGGCACACGCTAGACCAAGGGTGGGCAAACTTTTTGACTCGAGGGCCACAATGGGTTCTTAAACTGGACCGGAGGGCTGGAACAAAAGCATGGATGGAGTGTTTGTGTGAACTAATATAAATTCAAAGTAAACATCTTATTACAAAAAAGGGTACGGTTTTTTTTTTTTTAGTTTTATTCATTTCAGACGGGCCGGATCCGGCCCGTGGGCCATAGTTTGCCCATGGCTGCGCTAGACCCTCAATACATAAATTAATTCATGGTTGAACATATTAAGTTACTTAAATATTTCCTTTGTATCCTATCAAGAGGTAAAGCCAGTGCTTGAAGAATCACACAAAACTTGTACATTTCTGTGAAATAAGGCCTTTTGATTCTGCATTTAGAAGTGTTTAAAAAATGACATTTGGTCTCTTTTGGAATCATTTCCCAAGGAAAAAGGATCTGATGTCATTTAAGCCCTCGGGACAGTGTCTCCTTCACAAAGTATAGAATTTCTAACGGTTATGGTACTATAATTAGCTTTGGTAAGAGTTAAGTGGGGATGAATTTGTTACTGACACATGATACTTTAAAAGACATGGAGCCTAATGCTGAGCTCTGATCACTGTCCTGAGGAGGACCACCGACCTGATTCCCCTCCCCCATGAATAAGTGCCGATTGGGGTTTCAGCCGAGACAAGCCCATCCACGTGTTCTCAAATGAGTCCTCCCAGGACTGCCATGTTGGCTGCCTCATAACCATTATGCACAATCAGTCTACTAGACGCTCTTCACTGCTGCAAGGGCCCTACACACACTATTTCTAACCACAAGGAACCTCGGGGGGGGGGGGGGGGGGGGGGGGGCAGTATTATCATCTCCATGCTACGGATGGAGAAACTAAGACTCATCTCTTGCTTAAGCTCACTGAGATGGTCGGTCACTAGGCAAAGATTTCAAATCTTGTGCAGTCTCCTTAAAAAAACTTCCCTGCCCATCTCCACTGACGTGGTTCTCAGGGATAATGGGAACCTGAAGCAGAGATCGAGTGTCAACGGAAAGATGCAGAGCCAGCTATCTCAGATACGACTGCTGAGGGGAGAGGGTCCCAGAAATGCTTTCCCCTCACTGTGGACACAGGACCGTCACACGCCTACTGCACATTGTACTGAATCCTCAGAACAAGGGATCTTCCACCAAAAGATAATCTTTTCTTACAACGAGGCTGACATAGTTCTGTATTGCTTTATACACATCATCTCATTTGAGGCAAGCACAAGGTTGGGAAGAGAGACATCGCCCCACATATGGGTGAGGGATCTAGGGCTGAAAGTTCAGTGGCTTAGGTGGCCCACCTAGGGGGTAAGATAGCTGTGGCATGAACTGCAGTGAGCTTTCCACTGCACTCCAGTTGGCACCTGTCCTCGCTCCTGTATATTATGATTTTCTTTTTCCACCAACTTAAAAAGATACAAAGATTAGAGAGGCTAGAGGAAGGTCCTTTTACCAGTGTTAGATTTTTACATCACAGTGACTCCAAGACACTCCCCTTGAAGGGTGGGAAAGAAGTCTTATGGGTTTAACAAGGCAATCATTTTAGTGTCTCCAATATTTCACGAACATTAAATAAAAGACTGAGTTGCCCAGACAACTCACCCACAGTTGCAGTTCTGGTTGCCACAGAGCATGGAGAAGAGCGGGATACATTATTAATCCGGCCGCATTCTCTGAATTGGCAGAGGACCCATGGAAAGAGTGACGTGTCCGCCTGGCGGCTGCTCTGCTTTGCAGAGGAACACAATGTATAGTCCCCGGAGAGCCTCATGTTTGGGGGGCAAGGTGCATTCTTTCTCAAAGTTATTCCTCTAAATTATTCTTTAGGGTTATTTGGGGCAACTACAATAAATCAGTGATGAGCCATACTGGTTTTAGACAAGAACTTAGAGATTTCCTAATTCTGGATCCTGAGAAGTCCATGGAGGAGCTGGCCATTCAGCCATTTCCTCTGTGCCCCTGGCAGTAACACATGGCGGTGGGAGCTGAGTGTTGGCAGGTGGCACCCGGCCTGTCTGCCTCATCCATTACCACACAGACCTGGCTTCCCCATTCCAAAGATCCACGTCTTACTGATGATTTGATCAAATGAAGATGAGGAAAATGCTGTGTCTTTTGCAGCTACTTTCTTTATAATTTCTCATACCAGTATTGCATAAGGCTTAAAATAACAAGTGTGTATCCACAGACTACTTTAAATAAAAAGAGCCTCGTATTGTAGAACATATCCATTGAACATAGAATTCCAAAGGGTACATAAACATGTTGAACGTAAAATAAGTTGATTCTATAACCAATTTTCAACACCTTCCTGTTATTCCTCTTTGAAAATTGCTCTCAGAGGCTAAAATAGGCACACATTTTTAATGGATGAATAATTTTGATAGGGGAAAATCTTTATTCTATGAAAGCTAATTTTATTTTGGTGAAACATATAATTTGAAGCTATTTTTAAAATTCTTATAACATCCGCCCAAGAAACTCCTTTATTTTAATGTCTTCAAACTTGAACTCATAACTCCTACCATGACCTGACCTGCTGTCCCCTCGTCCTGGGAGCCCTGTAATGTTCCATAAATTCTATTATGTTCGGTCATCTTTTGTGAAAATGAGATTCAGGTATTAGGAACCTCAAGATTCTTCTATGTGCTTACTACAATTTGAATTGCTAGTAAAAAAAAATTGTATCTGAAATAACAATGTACAGCTTCAAAAACAGGAGGGTCAAAGAGGAGAATTTTAATGGTTTTTAGGAACCATAGCCTTGAAGCATAGATGTCAGTCAAGAGCAGCAGGAGATCACATTGAGACTAGAATCATTTTATTTCTTGAGGGAACAGTTACTTGAGTGTGGAGGACCTTCCATAACTATTTTAGACCTGGCAACTCCGTGACACACACTTTGAGAGAACACTGGCAAGTCCAGATGTGTTGGGGCAGAAATTAAGCTCAACAGGACTCGCAGCCTTTCCCATCGGTACCTGTCTTTGGTTTTCCGTCTCCAGGCGCAGCCTGGCCTCCACACACCTCCGAGTCTCCAGGAAGGCCTGGCGCTGGGCGCGGTCTGACAGGTAACTGATGAAGATCCCAGCCGTGTTCATGCACATGAATAACACCACCTGGGCCACCACCTGCAACAGAATCGCAGACAGAGCCCGGTCAGGTGGCTCAAAGAGGAGCTGTGTAGAGGCAAAGAGAGAAAATCAATAAACATTTCCATGGCAAATCTTAAGGGAATAATCCCAAAGCTTAGTAGCAGGTGAGCAGAACCAAGTTCTTCATTCAGGTCTTGAGGCAGATGTCAGCCCCTCCAAGGGGCCTCCCGTGGCCGATCCATCTAACTTAGAGCTTCTCCATCCCCGAGTTAGGTGTTGAACCTGGATCGGAGGCGTGAAGCAAGACAAGGGGCTCCTTCTCTCTTCCACACTCACCTCACTTCTCCTCTCCACGAGCGGAAGGTTTTGGCCTTTTTAAGGGGCTGGGAATCAGGTGAGAAGAAGGGAAAAGACTATTAAGACCCAGGGAAAGTTTTAGTTGAATAGCAATGTTGTGTTTTGACCTGTGCTTTCAGGCCCTCTTGGGCAGCATCCAAGTCCTGGTGTGCTAACTCAAGAAGAGATATCACAGTGTCTGCTGCTTCTCACCTCCAGCGCCGCCACCCAACTCCTAGGCACCGAACTCTCCCGGCCGGAGTCTTCTTAACCCAAAGCGTGCGCTCTTGGCGTGTCTTCACAAGTCCTTCTCACAGCCGGAGAATGTGCCCGTGTGTGGGCCTCTCTGCTTTTGGACGTAGGTGTGTCTTCACTGGTTTCACACGTGAGCATTAGTGGCTGCACACTGGGCAGAGGTGGGGGGGGGGCTGCAGAGGAGGGGAGCCCAAGCATTGGAGACTGCGGGGGAATATAGAGAGATTGTGATCCTCTCCGCAACCCCGAGGGGGCGCTCGGGTGCTGTGGGGTCCTGGCAAAGTGAGCGGGCAGCCACCCACCAAAGGCCTTTGCACCCACCTGGAGTTTCTGTAACCAGAGACCCGAGTTTGCATCCCTCAGCTCCACCATTTACTAGGCATCTGACCTTGGGCAAGTCACTTTATGCCTTCTTGAGCCTCAACTTTCTCATCTGAACAATGGGAATCAACCTTTGCCTCACAGAAGTAATGTACATGTATGTATATCTATATATTTATATAGTTAGTATGCAAGTGAATATATACGAATGTGCCTAGCACATAACAGATATCCAATGACTGTTGGATATATAAAGGGTGTCCCCCCAAAATGTATATACACTTTGAATAATTAATTCCTATGGGTTAAATCTGAAAAGATGGGAATCAACCTTTGCCTCACAGAAGTAATGTACATGTATGTATATCTATATATTTATATAGTTAGTATGCAAGTGAATATATACGAATGTGCCTAGCACATAACAGATATCCAATGACTGTTGGATATATAAGGGGTGTCCCCCCAAAATGTATATACACTTTGAATAATTAATTCCTACGGGTTAAATCTGAAAAGAAAAAAAAATCAATTGAGCTATCAGCTGTCAAGTGTGTATACATTTTTGGGGACACTCTATACTTTAATATAAGGCCATTTTTTTCCCCAAATGCTAGTCTATGGTGTAATATGTATCTTTTATTTCTTTCATAAATTGTGCATTACAGATTCTCATCCTTCATGTTACAAACTATTCCAGAGGACCATAAAGTATTAAAATCTTTAGTATTTATGCTGTTTTAAAAAGAATGCTTATGTGCATTATTTGCTACTCAGGGAACAGTGGAGGGGGATTAGGGAGCCAGCTCAGACAGAGGGGCCTCAAATCCCATCTCTAATGTCTCCCCGCCCCCCATGACCAAGCAAGTCATTCCCTCACTAAGAGGGCAGATACCACATAGTTTGGTTTGCTGATCTATGTAGAGCTTCGCAGTCTAGCCCAATGACTAAAGATCTGGGCTCCCATTCATGCCATTTGTCATGTGAATTTGGCCCAGTTCATTTTTCTGGCCTTCAAAACCGAACTATTTTCCCAAAATGTTGTGGGATAATCAATGAAAGGACTGCTCACTATGCACCTGAGCAGATAAATGACATGGAGAGGCTTAAGCTTTAAGGAGACCTGTTGTGATGTGGCAGGAGGCAGAGTGAAGGCCCAGGTGAAGCTGGCTCTTTAAGGACCCAGTGGAGAATGGGATGAAAGTGGTGGGAGGGTCTGTAGGAGTCAGCAAGCCAGACGGAGGAGTAGAGAGTACCACCAGCATCCCTGCGAGGGCGTGGGCTCTCCCCACAGCTGTCGGCCCTGTGGCCATGCTTCCTGCCTGCCCTTTATAAATAGGCCATGCTGAATTAGAAAAGGGAATTAGAAATAGTACGCAAGGAAGTTTAAAAAATAGCAGAGCAATAAAGGATAGGACACTTCAGTGAAAATCTAAGACAAAGGTAGAGAAGGATGCGGGCATGTTGAGCTCAGCTGGCATCCCATGACAAGAAAAAGTAAATGATGGAAAACCTACATCAAAGCCCGAGTTCAATCAATGGTGTCCTGAGAAATGACAAAAATAATGAGAGGGAAAGGCAGGCTTTTCAGAAGGTAACAAGAAGACAGCATTTTGAAAACTAGAATTAAAAGAACAAGAGAACAGGGATGTAAGGTTTTTTAAAAAACGGACCAAAAAAACTCTGACATTAAGGAGGAAGCACAAAAGTTAAAGGCTAAAAATAGGAAGGATTGGAGGTGAGAAAAAAATGATTAATCCCTTTAAAAATAGGCAAGAAGAAAATGAGGAAGTTAATTTTTTAAATATGAGAAATATAACAGGTGGTAGCACAAACTATAAAGATAAACTATGTTCATGCAAAGTAGCTTCAGAGAGTAAACATCTATTCTCATTCCACTGCCTTCAGAGAGATAGACAACACAGTTGCCAAAATTGTTCCAAGAGTGCTTTGCAGCCGGAGGCAACCACTGCTTAGACTCTGCCATCTTCCATGCACGGGACTTGGCAACTTCCGTTTACCCACCCTACTGCCTACCAGACACGTGTTCTGGCCATTGCACAATCCAGTAGTGACTGTGTTTGGTCTTATTAGCTCCATTTCACAGAATAGAAAAGTGAGCCTCCCAGGGATAAGTAATTACGTAAGGCCACCAAGCTAGTATGTGGTATTAAGGCAGCCAACTGCCCTAGTTTGCCTGGGACACAGAACTTTATTTTTAAATGTGGACTGTACTAGGAAAATCAAGAAGAGTTTTCTCACACTTACATTTAGTTAATATGCATTTTAGTTAATGACAAGTTGGGGTGGGAAGGCGGGGGGAGAGAGAGAAAGAGAAGCAGGTAGGGGGAGGGGAAGGAGGAGGAGGAGGAGGGGCAGGAGAAGGAAGATGTGGAAGAGGAGGAGGAGGAGGTGGAGGATCAGGGAGATGTGGAGGAAGAAGAAGATGTGGAGGAGGAGGAGAAGAAAAAGGATGAGGGGGAGGAGGAAGGTGAGGAGGAGGAAGAGGAGAAGGAGGAGGTGGAGGATCAGGGAGATGTGGAGGAGGAAGAAGATGTGGAGGAGGAGAAGAAAAAGGATGAGGGGGAGGAGGAAGGTGAGGAGGAGGAGGAAGAGAAGATGAGGAGAAGGAAGGGGAGGCAGAAAGGAGGTGGGGAGGGGGAGGAGGAGGAGGAGGAGGGTGTCTTTCTGAGAAGGCTCCCCATGGAGACTGGGCTTTTTGCAACACTGCATAGGAAATGAAGTCATCCGTATCCACAGGCAGGCAAATCAGCTATGTTTTGAAGACCAAAGTGGACACTGATTCAGTTCTCCTCCCTCTTTATCTCGGGCCTGTCAGGCACTGCGTCTAAAGTGTGTTATGGATGTGGGGAGGAGGCGGCCAAGGGTCTGCTGGAGCCTCTCGGGCTTTGGTGAATTGCTGCCCTGCGGGAGGAACCCTCCTGGCCAGGTCACTGATGAAACTGCCACCTTCACCTCATCCTCGTGCCTGGCACGGAGGGTAGGGAAGAGCCGGGACCTGGGTCAGCTGCCTTCCAGTGCTTCTGCTTCTAGGCTTAACTTGAAAAATCTAAACATGGAGCCTGGGGTAGTTTGGTTCTACTTTTGGGGAAAGGTGTGTGTAGGAGAGTGTGGCTTAGGGACAATACTGTAGGCACCTCCAGTCAGGTTGTGTCAGCCCAAGGGCATCTTTTGTGGTAGTGGGGGGTGTGGGGGGGGAACGGGCCTGAGTCTATAGGGTCCAGCGGTGGCATCACGGACCCCAGGACCCCACTCCCAGAATGAGGGAGCACCTGCTGCTGTCCGGCAGGCAATGATCTCCAAGAATGGGGTGCCCCCTCCAGAATTCAGTGCCCATTTTAAATCAAAGGCCTCCATCGAGTCCCGCATCCCTGGTCGGTGGGATGCAGGAGTCAGGGAGACAAGGAAGCAGGACTGGCTACTCCTGATGACCCACTTGGGGAGCCTGTGATGACAGACCCTGAACTCTGGGCCCAGGAGCTTTAGAGTTCCAGCTTCCACAGGCTGAGTGCCCCCTCCGGGTGACCCAGCAGGAGTCCCGTTAACTACAAAATCTGGCACGTTGGGCTCCTCATGCCAAGGCAGCAGTAGACAAGAGTTCCCATCCGGGTAGGGTTATATCCTGGCCTGAGAAAGGCATGGTTACCAGAGGCTGAGGCCCCTGACAGGTTAGACTCTGGACCATGCCATCAGGTGAACCACCAAGTCCCACAGAGGGGCTGGCTGAGGGCGAGGGGAATCTGGGAGAAAGAGGAGGACGACAGTGTATACCACTTGGGGACCCAGGACCAGCTGCAGCAGTGGGGACTTTAATTTATCCCCCCCCCAAGTGTCCCCAAGGAAGAGAGGCCCCGGGGATCGTAGAAGAACCTGTGTGGGGTAGATCCTAGTGGCACAAGGGGTGGACTGTGGTGGATCCTGAGCTGAGTCACTGTATCTGCCTTCAGGAAAGAAGTACAGAGAACATTCTCCTAGGATTGCTGCTGGCGGACAGCCCTCAGCTCTCAGCCCCCTTTGAGGAGCTGAAGAGAGCCTTCTCACCCAAGGTCATAGAAGGTCATTATGTACATGGACATACTATATAAATGCTCGTAACTCCAACT